GGGGGTGGGGGGAGGACCAGGGAGGATGATTCAACCACTCAACCACTAGATGTCGCTGAAAACAACAAATCCTACACACTGTGCCTTTAAAGGACTGATAACATCCGAAGCGGGTGAGTTTATTGACAGTCTATTTAAGGTTTAAAACAGAACAATGTCTCACACAATTATTGTGAACGTGTAAACATAATTTATTAACTTTCTGTCTTGAGTTAGGACTAAAACTAATATTCATATTCTAAGTTATAGGTACTTTCTGGCCGTTTCACCGAATTACTTGACCATACAGCCGTCATCCAACCGAATCGTTATGACCTCTTCAAACCAAAAATAGTCAGTCCAACCAATCGCAACTTTAACAAACTCCTCCCACAAAAGTCACAGACCTATCATGTCTTTGACAAACTCTTCCCACATACAAAGACTGCAGAGACCCCTTTCTCACAGCTCCTCCATGGAGCTTCTTGCCCRACCTGTAAGCTCCGTCGGTACAGCCATGTCTTGGTAAGCAGCTATGTAGCGTCGAATCACAAAAAAATAAACAAAAAAATCTGTAATATTTCAAGTTTGTTGTTGTCATGTGATAAAATATGAATACGTTTTCAAGGTGCTGTATTTCAGTGGTGATGCAGTCAGAGCTCTGGGAGTGTTTCCATATCTTCGGCGCCCCCCATCATCCTCATCTGTAGTTAATTCGTCACGTGTCGTTGGCTTTCAACCACAGCTCAGAAGTCAGATAAACAAGCTGTCGCTCATCACTTACCTGACAAGCTGTCGCACCACATCAGCCCACATGAATGTTGAAAGAGTGGCAAAAATATGAGAGCAGATCAGAGAAAGTGTGCTGGGACTTTTTTGGTGGCAAGCCATCAGATGGTGTTGATGAAAAGACTGCGGCTTGGGAGGAAACCCAAGCAGATTTGAAGGTTTATAGCTCAGGTGTTTTTCACAGTAGAATCATCGTTTATACAGACCTCAAGCCTTTATCGCTTTTCTATTGTTTTTATACTTTTTATTTGTGTAAATGAAGAYGTTTTTGGTTTTGTAGAGAATAAAATGTGGACGTCACAAGTCACATGACGCACCTTCGAGTTGCCTAACATTTTCAAAACATTTGCTCTTCCTACTCTCACACCTGTAACACTTTATGTACGSCTTATACTTTAAAACATAGATATTTTTGTCTTCTTTCACATAGTGAGACTCACCATAGGACTCACACCCAAACTCTCATTTGCTGCCATTAAATGACGTTTAGCCTTAAATCTGGTCATGATGGACCTTTTTAGACTATCATAGCCCGTTACAGTAATGATTATTCTTACTTTTATTTTGATCTTTGTTTATTTTTTATTGTGAGAATCTTTAATTCTATTATTATTGCTACAGTTGATAATGTCACACAGCAATATACTGTTTCTGTGGATTGATGTATGTATCT